CTGAAGTCTGAGCTGATAGACTGTGCAAGGAGGTAAGGTGGCTTTAGCTGGTGAGGGGGTCTCCATGTTTCCTCCAGACACCTCTTGCACAGACCCTGCACATCCCAAAAGAGGAAAGTGTATGAATGAGGGGAGTACACACACCTTTACAGCAGCTCCTGTTAGTATGCTTGAGGCCAGCCCTGCTCTCACTCCTTCCCCAGGGCATGTGCTTGCTCCAAGGCTGCAGGCTTGGATGGAGGAGAAAGAAGTGACAGCATCACTCCGTGTATGGCATCCTAAGCCTGGCTGAGTCTGGGGCCCTCCTGGCCTGAGAACGCCACACAGGATGGGTACAGGGATAATGCATGTTGCTGGACTGCCACCATCACTAGAGTATCATAAAACTCCCCAGATCCTTCAAACCAACCATTTCTCATCATAGTTACTTTCTATTCCACCAGTCATGGCAAGTTCAAAAGAAGCTGCAAACTAATGTGGGCAAATATAATCTCCAATGGATGAATAGATACTGGAGGAAACAGTTTCACAAACCCAGCTGGTTTCAGCTGTGCTTTACACAGAGGCTTGCATTGCCTGTTGTCAGGAGTATGGCATCATACTTGCTAGAAACCATCAGCTAAGGGTTAGACTGGTCCATATGCTATTCTCAGCTCTGCTACTGACTCACCTGCATGGCCCTGGGCAAGTGGCTTGCATATTTGTGCCTTAGTTTACCCACTGGTAATAGCAGAGATAGTAACAGTCTCACAGAGTGGTGTGAGAATTAGTTAATTAATATTTGGAAAACAGCTTGTGCCTTGACGTCTTTGTGCCTTTGTTTACCCACCAGTAATATCAGAGATAATAACTGTCTCATGGAGAGGTACAAGGGTTAATTAATTATTTGAAAAGCAGTTTGAGATCCTTGGATGAAAGATGCTAAGTAAAACATATCATTAAAACCATCTCCTGGTCCTCTGTGAAGTTAAAATAAAGCTGGAGCTTCTTAGTCATTCAAATAATGAAACCATAAATACTGTTTATTTTAATCTTCCCTTTAAGAAAATAATCTCATCTAGGCAGTGATACCAGCCAAAGAATGAAAAATGTTTCAGATTCAGGAGACCTATCAATTTCAAGAGCTTGATTCTTAATTGCTTTTTGATTTCTATCAATGGAAAGTGAGAGCAATTGTATTTACAAATGCCTGCAAAAGCACAGGGCAGCTGGCAGGACACCCACAGCTCCTCTGCAGGGTTTCAGCCTGTATATTCACATGGATACGGCAGCTGTACACTGAGCTGCACAGGGTTTCTCACACCATCGAAGCAGATGATCTTATTTGACTTGTTAACCAACAGGGAGGTGTAGACTTCATCTTAAACACACGTCAAAGCCAGCTTCCCACTGCACCAAAGCATGGGTGCACAAAGCAGGGTTGCAGGAGCAACTTCTCCTCCCAGGAATGGTGCCAATTCAACCAAGCAAAGGTGCTGCTCATCAGCCATTGATCCATTCAGCCTTTTGCATCCTGGGCGGCTTGTGCTGCTTGTCTCTCCTAAAGCTCAGCACTGAGTGTGTGCTGTGAGCCAGTGCTCTGCCCAGATCTATGGGGAGAGAAATCCCTCACTGACACCGGGAAGGAACAGTAGGAGAATCGATGGAGTCTATATTTAAAATCCTCTTTTATTCACAAGTGTACATGCCAAATGTGGAAAACCCTCTGCTACTTCCCTGGGGACTTACTGTATATTGGGGCATCAAATATGTCCCAGTTGGCCTGTGTTTTGTCTCTTTCTCTCTAGTTTTTGTGCATGTTTTGTTTTACAAAGTAGATATGTGAAGAAGAGGGTTGAAGGATCAAGGTCACTGTGTTTAACTGGACGAGGCTTCTTTTAGGGTGCAACTACTGCCGGGAGCCTGCTGTGCTGGGCACCCGAACCACCACTTGAGCCTTCCACTAGCTCAGAGAACCCTGTCTCAGCCTTTTCATGGCCTCCCACTCCTCTCTGCCCATAGAAAGTTTGCAGCAATTGCCAAGTAACCTGTGTGGGAACATGGGGAGGAAGAAAGGATGTAATTGCCTTTCTGAGCTCCAGCACCTTCATTAGTTAAATGTCCTCCTGTCTTTTCCATGCTAGTCCAGCTTCTACTGAATTTTCATCAGACCAAAAGAGGCCTTTAGGGCCATTTGAAAGTAACCATCAGATAAAAGCAACTGTCATCCTCCTTATGCAGCAGGCAAGGAAGCAGACACAGGTAGACTGGTCACACAGGAAGGAGAGGAGAGGAGGGACCTGGTGACTCAGAGCTTTTGATTCCCAGCTGTCAGCTTTAGACGCCATACCAGCCAAGTATAAAAGCACATGGTTATCTCTGACCTCATGAATAATCCCACTGATTTAAGCCATAAACATTAGCATCAGGGCCTTAACCACGTGGCTGTGCTCACCAAGAGCAGATAAACAGGAGCGCAGCTATGGACAGGCCCAAGATACTCTTCTTGAAATAGAGGAATCGCAGCAAACCTGGTGCAGGTTTCTAAGAGAACCACCAATGGGGATACAAAGGTGGCTTGGTCCCCAAGATGACGGGTCCCTTAGGGGTGATGCAGCTCCTGCGCCAGCCCCAGAAGCTCTCTCCACACTGGAAATCGGTGGAGTTGTCCATCTCCTTCACAATTAGCCTGTTGGATGCATTGAGGGCGCTGCTTAGCTGGCTGCAGTGACATTGACCTTAATGGTGATTCCCCAGAGCACAATGCCCAGATGATATGACCCCAGTCCTCACACTTTGCTGGGGGGGAAAGGGGCATTTGCATATATGATGATACCAACTGTCCTCTCCTGACTTGGATTTAATGAGTTCCTTATCCCTTTGCTCACACAGAATTGGGAAATGACCTGGTTATGAAGGAATCTCACCCACAAGCAGAGCTATCCCTCAAAACTCCACGACCCAGTTTGGGATACAGTTTACTCCCTAGCAGCTGCTTTTGACCTTGCCTTTCTAGCAAAGGGCTAAGAGATCAAGGGGAACAAGGAGGAAGCTGTGCTCCTGTTGTTGATGGGAGGGCGAGTGAAGCAACCTAAATTACACACGGCGTTGCCTACCACCAGATGGTCGGAGCGTCTCTGCCTTCTATTATGCAAAGCAATAGTTTCACAGACAAAGTAGAGGGGACCAGAGATACCAGAGCATTTGGGAAACATGTCCCATAGCTGACTGAAAAGTGTGTTTTACTTCGAGCTGGTAACATGGCATTTTAGCTGGATGCCTGCGGTTCAACCCTTCCCTGGAGGTGAAAGGTGTCAGCTCTGCCTCAGAGCGAGCACAGAGACTGTGAACCCAACCAGAATTGGAGCAGTGATTTATAATGGCAGGGTTTAGGTTTTGCAGACAGGAGGTGGTGGTTTAAATGAAACGTTCAATAAACCTGGGCAAAGCCCATTTTGCTTCTCACTTAGGAGAAGCTTCCAGTTTGGTCCCTTGTAGCTGCGGGCACTGCCTTGTGATCTCTCAGCTGGAGTAATGGTGGGGGTGTTTGAGCTAAACGGACTGATCCCCATTGCCTAATATGTCCAAATATTCTTCCTGGTCTGCATCCATCTGCTGCTTCATGTCATTATGGCATGTCGACATGAAAAGTGAAGGTGTGAATGGAAAGCTACTTCTGCTGGCTTTAACTTACGACAGTTCAGATATGGGCACAATGCTTCCCTGGGAGTGTGAAGCTTAATGTGTGTGGTGGCAGTGCTGGACCACATTTCTGAGGCTGAGGATTCCAGGGGGCCTCCACTGGCATCCCTTCTATCTCGAGCTTCTCTGCAGCACAGGCATACCCATCATGAGGGTGGGGATGAGAGTATTTTCTCTACTTCATGGCTATCCAGTTATTTCATACAATAGTCCGGGTCCGTGAGCAGAGCTCCTCAGCACAGCATGAACCCTGGTAGAGAACGTGTATAGGAATAGAAATGTCTCTCGTAAGCCTTACTAGGTTGGCCCCCATCATGTCCATTGTGCAAACTCACTGACAGGTGAGATGCATGGGCTTAATTTCACCAATAATGGCACTGATCCATATATAAAATAATCAAACCACTCACGGCTTTGGTTTGTGCATTATGTGAGCACCTAAAGGCTTTAAAAAGGGTACCACATAGATCTTGTACTCACCTATAATTTCTGTCTTCTCTCAGATGCAGCTTTCATTGGAGTAGTGCAAGATACAAAATATGTCAGCCTTCCCTTATAGCTTTTCTAGAACTGAAATTCAACTGATTCAATCTCAGATCAGCAGTGGTGGCCCTTGTTCTCACTCAGCACTGTGGGCTATCAGCTCTTGGGCTGATTTCTGAAGCAGTTCACTGCGATAAGAAGTTCTTTAAGAATCAGTGGTGAATATTGGACTAAATTCAGCCACCCTTCACTTGGCTGCAGATTCCCCTAGCACAGATGCTGGAGTTTATAATCCACATGTAATTTCCTCCTCTTCCATTTCTCCCTAGGAACAGAAGGGGAAACCAAACCAGGAAAGGACAGAATGGACGGAGGAGCCCTGCTTGTGCCTGTACACTGACTGGCACTCTGACTCCTTCTCCAAGCCCTTCCTTCAGACTGCTGCCTGTCCTCAGGTAATTTGCATCACTTCCCCATCACTCAAATACAGTTAATCACAGCACTCATTCTGTAACATTTACAAACCAATGGGTCAAAAATGGTACCTTGGAGCTAGGCACTTGAAATATTGCTTTTTAAGGCATATAATCCCAAATCCATAGCATGGGAAAACCAAGAGTTTCACAACAAAGCATGGAAAACCCTAACAACTATTAGCTCAAACCCTCCCTTTCAGGCCGCACCCAAAACCCAAGTGAGAGGCTAATGGACAAATCCTCCTCTGGCAGGGGGCCGATCAGCCAGAGCACCATTCACCCAGTCCCAACCTATTTCACACCAGGCAAAATCCCTGTGGGAACAGACAATTCATGGCACTGTACCTTTACTCATGACAGTACCAGCAGACAATTGCTAGCGTCTCGGTGTCTGGCCAAAGCGGATGGCAGACAGCTGTCTGAAGCTGGGACCTGGGAAAGTGGGGATAACATCAGGAAAAAACAAAAACATCTTACATACCTGCTACTCCCATCTCATCCCACTCTGGGGAGATGCCTGGTTGCTGTGGACTGAGTCAGTGCCTGCTCTTGTGGTCCTTCAGCACCCTGTGGAGCTACCGCGTGCTTGCAGACTTGGGGTTGTTGCCACGTCCTGTCCTATCTGCTGTTTGCGAGGACTTTACAGCCAACACTGAGTACCAGTGGCTTGGCTATTTCCACCTTGTTTTGGCTGTTTTAGCCTACCTATGTGAACGAACATGCAGCCTTCTCAGCGGGTCAGCAGGTCAGGATGGAGCAACAGCACCTACTTGGGAAGATTTGCTGGGTCCTTTGAAAAATATCCCCGGATTTTTATTGGATCTTAGGTTATCTGCCTGGATCTGGGCTTTGATTCTCCGCTCTATAGCTTTATCCCAGGCTGGCAAGGGTAGTGCCTTTCCCTCAGAGACCACAACTGACAGCTCTCAGGGAGAGGGAGGAATGGGGCAGTGGTTGCCTTGTGAGGGTGGGGAGAGGGAAAGGCTGTCTGAGGCCACTGTCTGCATGGGGGAGCTGCAGGGCTGGTGAGGATGATCAGCAAGCATCTTATTTCTCCTTCCCTGGGTTGCTTAACTCCAGCCTGGGGGACCACCACTCCTTGCTCTTCCATTGCACCCTCCCTAGGTCCCAAATTCCTGGCTTTTTCCACCCAGCTATGCCACGCTGACTCTACCCCAACCTCCCCACTGCTCCCCAGGCAAGTCCTGTCCCTTCAGCTGCAGCATGACATTTGCCTACGTGGCTTATAAATGTTGGCTCTTCATAAAAATACCAGCCTGCCCGCAGGGAATGAGGTGGAAGGTAGACCATGCTGAGGCCTTTTATTTCCTGCAAAGGTGTCTTTGCAAGACACTGGTGGAGAGCACTATGCAGATGCACAGAGACAGTATGCAGATGAGCGACACTGTGAAAGGCAGGGCCAGCTCCCCAGCTGGGGGAAAATGGGTTAGATCAAACACTCATGCAGATTTCCATCAGCTGTGGTGACAGTTAGGTAGGCTGGCCATTTTGCATGGATGGCTCACCTCTTTGCCAGCTGTAATAAACATGGGTGCCTGATGCCAACAGAGCTGGGCTGAGCTTCACCAATAGATGCATCTTCTTCCCCGCCTGCTCCACTGGTGCAAGTGGCCTCATCTCTGCCAAGTAAATACGTGAAGAGAAGCTAAGTGGGAATCTGGGTTGTACTCATGCTGAGAGCTGGCCAAAGAAGGAGAAAACATCAATCTCAAAAGGGTTTTCAAGATTTGGACATCTGGCTTCATCTTTGACTATGTTCAAACAGGATCTGTCAACTTGAATCAAGAAAATCAAGAGGAAGAGGAGCCTAGCCTTTAAAAGTCAGTGCTGCCATAGAATCGTACCATCAACTAGGTTGGAAAAGATCTCATGGCTAGAAAGTTCACGAAGCACATGGGAGAAAAAAGCTTAGTCTGAATCCATGACTTGAACACAAACCTACACCCCATAACCAAATATTGTGGGGTTCCTTTCTCGCTTGTTGTGCTAAAAAATTCTGGCTAGAATAGAAGAAAGTGAAATGCAAAACAAAGCTCTTAAAAGAAATAAAATAATAACCTGCCAAAATTAAAGCTAAATTATGGAACTTCCACATTCCTCCACTGTGTGTGTTTTGTGTTTGAGAAAATTCATGTGAAGATTTCACCTATCTAGCTTTGGATGGTTTCATTATTAGCAGGCCACAAATGAATTAGGTGGATGATGCAAAAGTGACTGCCAATAAAATATTTACACCGTTTCTTCCTTCTGTGTGAAACATCTTTTATATCTATGCATAGACGTATATACTATAAATAATAGAAATGATGCTCATATTTTATAGTAGGGATGTAAACACTGGTCCCAACAGCAGTGGCAAATGAACCACTCACATTTTCTGATTGCATAATTTGCCTAGAGGATGGATACATAATTACACTATAATTAAGTATAATAAACAGAGAAAATGATTTGAGAAGGAAAAATTATCACAGCCTCAACCACATCAGCCAGAAGCTCTCTTCTAATTAAGTTATTTTATTAAACAAAATGTTTTTAAGGTGGGTCCCCTTTGAAAATGTACATTATAGCCCATGTAATGCAATTTACTTTATAAGTAAAACATGGCTTGTGTATGGACAGATCATATCTGACAGGACTCATGAAATACGCAGCCACTGGGTCCAGTCCAGCCAGGTGCCGAGTCCCTCACGCCCCTGGTCCAAGGAGTAGACACTGCAGCAGCACATAAAGCAGCCTTTTATTTGTGCTCACTGATGGGCTCTTTTTATGTTGCTTGGGTTTGTTTTCTGATTTAAAGGGAGAAACGCAAGCAGGTAATTCTGGTGTTGTCATCCTGTAATGGTACAGTAGAGGCAAAGGCCAAGAAAAGAGGTAGCTCAAGCTAGCCCAAATACCTCATGCTATTTGGAGTTGAGTCTTAAAACACTATTTCCTTTCAAATGCTTTTACCCTCACTAATTCTGCTCAGTGCTTGGCAAGATGTGCAGGTGGAGCTGACTTTTATGTTACTGTCACTGAAGAAACCCACTGGTTTACAGTCAGGAAGACCACATAATCTGCTACCTCATGTGGCAAAGGCCATTGGACACCCTCCAGTTCATTGCTCTTAAAACTACAGCTCCCCCAGCCACTCAGGGACCTCAGAAGCTATTATAGAAGCCTTGGAGCATTATTCTGAAGGAGCCTAGTGCTCATCATGTTCCCCCTCCCCACAAAAAGTCCAGCTTTAAGTTATAGCCATAAGATTTCTGTAGACATCTGCCTCATTTCCACATTTCTCTTCCTCTTGCTTGTGAGTACTTAGAGATTGTGATCAAGCCATCCCGTAGCCTCTCTTCTGTAAGCTCATTAAATCATGCTGCCCGATACAAATCTCTGCTGGTTTCCTGGCTCTTCAAGGCTCCTACGGCCTTGCAATGTTCTTTGGGAAGATTCCTGTGTATCAGTGACCTGTTTTCTTAGCTACTTACTCTCTTCTTCAGTTCCCAAGTCACTTGTAAAGTTTACTTGTAATGATTTAGGCTGTCTTTCAAGTCGCTGTGAAAGCCAGCATATCCTTTGTAACACATCCCTTTGGAACCTGCTAGGGATGAAATCCAAGAATGGACTTACGTTCAGTGTAGGAGAAAGCATCCAAGTCCAAGGAGAAACTAGGGAAAGAAGAAATTGTGTCCTAAAATACCTGTTGTCCATAGCAGCACAAGGTTCAAAATGTTGAGCATTATGTCATGAGAACATCTCCGAATGCCCCATGGAGATGTACTTCTCTAGCTCTCTCTACTGTATGCACAGTGTAGTGGGTAATGGAGAGAGCAGCCTGGTGATCGAGACGAATCCTCTTTGTTTAGAGCTTTCCACTCTTAAATATTTGCAGACCTTTGAACCACAAAATGTTGTCAGTTATTGACGAGATGATTGATGTGTGTGGTTAATGCTTGCAGGGCGCCCCAGGCACAGCACATCACCATGGGTCTATATACTCCTGATGACTACTTCAGTTTCTCTCCTAATCTCATGTGTTTTCAGCTGTATAGTGACCTGATTTCAACCAGGAGCTTCCATGAACAATCACGTGGCAATCACAGACATTGTAAACTCAAGCCAAAGAGTCATTTTCAAATGCTTGGCAAACGCCAGACCACAGAAACTCAATGTGTCGTAAGATTCCACTTGGTCCCATAATCATGGGTGGGAAAAAAGAGGAGGATTATCCATAGACCTCAAAGTGTTTTACAAAGGGAGACAAATGCTGCTATTCCCATTTATTGGATAGGGCAACGGCAAGTAGAGACTTGCACAAAGTCACCCAATTAATCAGCCAGAAAACTGCCACTGAAACCCATATTCTGGTCTAAACAGGTTCCCAGACTGCCCTCATCACTGCAATATCCGAGTACCCTCCAGTAGTATATTAAGAGAATTTGGGCATGTCTACACTGGCCGATGCAAATAGCTGCCTGCCAATCCAGCCCCCTTCTCAGCCAACTGGACAAAAGCCATCTCCAGACTGAAGCTGTGTAGCCACGTTAACACCATTCAGAGCCCAGATGTATGAACTCCACTGCCACAAGGGGTGAAAGCTCAACCCAGCACCACCACTCTAATTCAGCTGTTAGGCTGTCTCTGAATTAGATATACCTTTCTTTATTTTAAACCCCATTTCATCATCTATAGTTCCTCTCAGAGTATTTCCTCGTGTTTCAGTTCTTGCTAAGCCATGGAGACAGGGCACAAACATGCTGGTTATCTGGTTACAGCCTCATGGCAGCTTTGAAGAATGATCTGGAAGGTGACAATTTGAACAGGAATATTTGGATACACTGCATAAGGAAGAAAAATCTCCAAAATATACTTATTAAGTCAGGAAAAGAGGAAAGAGAAGGAAAGCATCTCTTTAAACTCAAGATCTACTTGTCATGAGCAAGAGTACTAAAAAATCGGTAACTTAATAACCTGAAGGAAGAGTAGCTGTTATTACAGGGCATTGTACTGGCAAAGCTCCTATACATCACAACAATAATTCTCTCCAGACTTCTCTTCCCTCCCAAGGCATGAGGAAACACCAGTGCATTTAGCCTCAACCGCCTGGCAGGCAGCATCACTTCCTCGTGAGAGGCAGGGAGCTGACACAGCGAGGGGAAGGCTGTCCTTTGTGAGAGCTACAAAAGCCCCGTGTGACCCAGTAAGTCTGACATAGAGCTGAAGCAATGAGTCCTGCTCCAAGGAAGCTAAAAATTCCAAGGTGCTTTAAGAGCTCAGGACTACTCGTGCTCCCGAGGTTTAGAAATCCTTTGAGGGTTGCTATGTTCATGCCAACCACTCCTAGCTCTGGAAGTCCAGCTCTGCTCACCTTGATTTCACTTTCCTCCCATCAGCGTCTACTTCCACTGTCTTCTGGCCATGGGGCAAGGTGGGCTTTGATCTGGAGCTGCTCTCGCCTGGGTCTTGTGTTTCTGGATCCAAATCCCTGCTGGCAGGGATCTGGCTTCACCAGATCATCACCCTCTGCCTGGGGAAAACAGGGCAGCACGTAGGCAGCAGCGTTTCTTTGCTTCTTTGCACTTCTTGGACTTCTGTGCAAAGCCCCAGTGGGTGAACGTGTGCTCCATGCACATGCAGAAAGGGCACAGACACTGCTTGAAAAAGAACGGACCTGGTTAACTTGGCTACGATCATCCAGGAAGTTTGTGGCAGAGCTGCAAATAAAATCCAGACATTTTGCCTTTTGGGCCTGCGTCTTCACAACAACACTGTTCTTCCTCTGGGCATCTGGGCTTGTTGTCTTATCGGGATGCGCTGCTCAGCGTGGCTCCTTAAAGGGAAAGAGTGCTGGGAAAGCCACGCTTTAATCCAGCAGAGAAAATGACACCACCTACAGAGGAAAACCCTGTAGCTTTTTGCAATTATTGCCATGCATGTATATCTTTCCCTCCCTTTGTGATCTTTACCACTTCCTTACCATATGTAAAAGGCCTGATCCTGATGAAAATAGTCTTGGTTCCAGAAATGCCACTCAGACGATGTTGATTTACCTCCACAGAGGATGTGGGCCCAATGCTTTTGGCCAGATTTTTCTGCAAGCAGCCAGTCACATTTCTCTCTCCTCCACCCAGAAAGCTGGGGGAAGTCGTGCAGCAAGAACCTTGCTCTACTTCACCTGGCCCACCCAGGGAAGAGCTATTTCTGGATGGGCACGGAAACCCCAAGCTTTGTCCCTTTAATCTGACATCTCATGCGAGTTGCTAAGCCTAATGTTTAAATTGAAAAACACCAACCTGAAAATAGCACTAAAGGAAGCAGAGGATTTGAACAGCACTATATTTTTAAGATAGTCCTTCTGGAAAACATTGTATTTAAAAGCTGACCCTTTTACCATGAGGTTTCTGAAACTATAGAGCCATCCCAAGATTCCTGTGAGATAAGGCTTATAATTTGGAACTGAGTAATGGCACATAAACACAATTGGCTTTGTATTAAGAAGACATGTGTAATCATCCGGCAGTGTCATATTGCCCCCAGTGCAGAGTGGTTTGGGCCTGTTTGTGTTGGAAATTAAAGGTAAGTGCTACACGATGATGAAGGTGGCTCATCCTCCATACCTGACAGAGGGATGATGTCTCAGGGTACAGATCTCCCTGGGGCTTTGGAGAAAACCCCCTCCTTTTGAGTATTTATGGTCTGATATGATTTAATATCTAAGCCCATAACTCAAAGTGTTTGGAAGGGCAGTTGTTGAGCTGTGATGGGCAGAGGTTGCACATTGCAACCTCCTCTTAACCGAAGTGACGCAAACTCAAGATCTTTTTAACTTGAAGACCTCATTCCTTCATATTGATTTGACTTATTTCTACTAAAGGGCAAACCCAGGGAAACACAGGAGTTTCCGTGGTGGTTTTATGCCAAGCATAAGTATCTGTGTAGGAGCCTTTCAGACCTCTTCGCACTCCCAGAGCAAGGACCAGATCTCTGGCTTGAGTCTTCTAATTTTCTTCCACTTTGTTGGCGTGAAGTCTGGCAGCCAGGCAGATGTGCCTGCCTTGATCTTTGGTGTGGATCTCCTGTTGCACTCTCTGTTTTTCCAAGCCTCAATAGGGGAAAGTGGAATTGCTGTCCAGAAACATTAATCACAGCATCTCAGATCTGTAAATTCTCAAGAGTTTTCCCTCCTGGAGCACTGGAAGGCTTTGACCCATTTTCCAAAGTGGGTATAAAGCATATATACATAAGGAAAGCACACATACTTGTAGCATCTGCAAAAACATATGGTAGTTTCACATCCCACTAACCAGTTTCCTGGATTGAATACATATAAGTGCAGGCTTTGTGAGAACTAGCCTGTTATGAATGCTGGGTTTCTGACTCTCATCCCTTAACCGCAGTCCTTCCTTGACTTTGTGAGAGATACCATTTCCCTCTTAATTTGGCAAGTTAATGCACACAGTCCTTCTGGATACTTATCCTTGTGTTGCCCTTTTTTTGCAGGTGAAGCTACTCTATCAGGCTCCATTGACAATCTCTTCTCCCATCTGCCTGTCTTGCCATTGCATACAGAGGGGTTGCGTTATCTCTGCTTAATCCTGAATGGCAAAAAGCAACCATTTCCAGGAGCAGTAATTACACTTCAGATGTCTTGGGATTTTGCTGGGCAGCTAATCTACAGAGCAAATGTTTCCATCTAAATCTTTTGTTTTAATGAAAGACTGTTTTGCCAAAGGACCTGTTTTCCTTAAATAGACTATTTTTGAAGCAGAACATCTAGAACTTTTGGCTGTTGTTTCTGACAAGGATATCATTTTTCCTATCTTATCAACATTTTCTGTGCAAACATACCCACCTATCAGCATGTTTTCCCTTTTAGTAACCAACCTTGAGTCCAACGTGCCTTCTAGCACCAAAGCAATAAACCCTGAAGAATGGATGTAGATACGGAGAGACCCCCCTGCATCCTTCTATGCCTGTACTTGTGCCACTCCTCTTGTACATTAGTTTACACTCTCGGAAACTCCCAGAGAGGAAGACCCCAAAGCCCCTTTCTGCCCCATCAGTCCCAGCATCTCCTTCTCTTTATGGATAGAGCTTTCCTAAATTCTTACCTCCTCTGTTTTGCCCCAGATAAAGCCAACTCAGTCTTGTCTTTCCCCATGCAAACAGACCAGTGACCACTGTACCCTTTTACCACACTCATTTCACCTAGTGTCTTCCCATGTGAAGTCTCTCATAGCTGTCCTCAGTCTTCTCTAGACTAAACAATTCCAATTAAAAAAGAAAGAAAATTCCTTCCAGGTCACGTTTTTTGAAGCCTCTTATCAGTTCTTTTGCTCTCCTCCAGATTTCCTCCTGTGTTTTTACCTTCATATGGAGTACGGAACACAGACCTGTGGTCTGGGCCTCTCCAGCACCAGACTGATCTCCACACAAAAGGTGCTCTTGATACCTCAGCTAAAAACAAGTGTCTTTCTGGCCACAGATCACACGGTAGACTTAGATTTGAGCTTGCCCTCTACCAGCTCCTCTAGCACATTGCCAGTACCATGACCTGGTTCCTTAATATGTATTTTACTTACGCGCTTTCTTTTTCACATAAGACTATTTCTAAAGTTTATTCAGAACATTTATTCAGAACCATCTGCCTCCCCTCCCAAAGCTGGGGTTCTCCCAACCTGTTCTGTTGTTTTAACCTACTGTAAAGAGCCCTGTCTGCTCCACCAACCAAACTGTTAATAGAGATTTAAATGAACCATGACCAGCACAGACTTCTGTTAATGGTCCTCTCACTTTGACAGTGAATCACGCATGCCTGATCTTCAAGGATATACTTCCAATCAATGGTTGAAAAGCAGCAATTATTTCTGTCAGATAGGCATCATTTCTGATACCAACAGCTGTCCAAGGGAGACCTGAAGCCAAGAGTGATACCAGTGAATAATAGACAAATACCTACTCATCACCTGTACTGGGTTGAGTACAGGCTTGAGTACCAAGCCCTGAAACTACACTCTCTCCTATTTTTTTTATGAGAGGACAGCAGCAAAGCTGGATTATTCATAGTTCTGAAAGCAGGATGGGCACACCAGTATGCCCCTAAAGCCAAGATGATGAGCTAATCAACTTCGTATTGTTAGAAGAGTCCCCACCTACGCTTTCACACAAAAGGCTGATTAGCTCACAGGTATGCAAAACTCTGGGAGGATGCCATCTTTCATCGCTACCAGAAGATGTTTAATACATGTTGCCAACACTTAAGTGTTTGTGAGTGTGTATGTGTGTACACACATGCGCAGCCACTTGCTCTGGTCGCAGGAGCTGCTCACTGTGTTGCGCTAATCCGCCGTGCCAGGGCACAGCCCTGTGCTGGGCATAGCTTCGCTGCTTTGCGCTCAGCTGCAGCGGACAGGAGCGCAGGAGATACAGCCTTCACAGCCCAAAGGAGCCAGATTTTAACAGGCTTGTCCTGCTTCCAGTGGCAGTGCCTGTGACAGTAACAGTCATAGGACGGGAGAGGGTGTCACCATGGAGAGCAAGGAGGTGATGTTTCACCTTTCTTGTGATGTCCTGGTGAAAGGAAAGCTAAAAGCACTCCACCGTCTAAATCACTGATGGAAACAGTGAGTGTGAGTGCACTAAAACATGCTCATCCCACGTACCAGTGTGCTCCATAAAGGAAGGTCAAACACGGAGCAGACTGTAAGGGCACATAGCAGCGAAATACTGCTGAGGCTGGTTGGTGCGATTCCCATTACAAACCAGGGGTGATGATGTAAAGTATTAGCTCCGCATCATTGTTCAGCCTGGAGAAGAAGTTCTCCGAGGACACGTTATTATAGTCTTCCGATACGTAAAGGGGGCCAACAAGAAATCCAGAGAGGGACTTTTTACAAGGGCATATAGGGACAGGAAAAGGGGGAAGAAACCCTCCCTACTATCAGTAGTCAGTAATATATTTGCTATCTTCTAATGGTGTACCTTATCTCATGTGCATAGGAAATAACATCCTCTCACTGTCTTTTTCTGCCCTCTTCTTCCATGCTCCTTGCTGAAGATTTGCAGGACATCAGGAGTTCCCTATGCTCCCCATTAGCTTAACAGTTATCTGGAAAAGAATGTGACAAAAAAAGGCATGCATTGAAATGTGCTTTGACAAATATATAACAATATATGTTTCCCAATGTATTTTCAATTTTCTGACTACAGTGTGTGAGCAGGAGAAGGCGTAGGAATGCATCACAAAACTGTCTGTTTGCAAATAGAAAAGCTTTCTTTAATCTTGCTTATACAGGGGGATATACTGCTCTTTTAGTATAGAGGATTTTTCCAGCTGGGCTACCTGCATTCTAAGGACTGAAGATGCTGAGGGTGTCCCATCTGCACAACCTCTTCCCTGGGATGCGAGCAATGAGGGCTGGTTCATGGTGAGCAAATGAAGCCCTTAAGGAACTGAGTATGAATTCATGCCCTGCAGCTTGTGGGGAGAAATTATCCTGGGATAACTTTGGTCTTTTGCTGACAAAAAATAACTGGCTAAATCCCAAATGATTATACCCCTGTTACAGTCATACCAGTTGGACTCCAGCACAGCCCCTTCACCCAGTGGGAGCTTCCAGCCCAGCTATGACCCCTCCATTGCTGGCTGCTGTTTGCAGCACCCCACATCAAGAGAGGCAAAGAAGGAGTTTGTGGAGGCAGGCAGCTCCCGTCACTTCCTCTGGCAAGTGCCTGTACTTAATGCAGAGGGGTTTTACTTCATGGAAGTCTTTGCACCAAGTGACTTTGTCCTAAGCACTGCACTGCCTCGGTTATCGCCCGCGCAAACATTCCCTTCAGATCAACATACCGGCTGGGCCAGAAATCACACAATTGATGTTTTGGTTTCCACTGCCTTATCTAAATCCAGTTACTGCTCAAAATGAGACTAAGTCAACAGACTTAATTGAATGAAAAGGCTGTGAGACAACCTAGAGATTTGTGGCTGTGTATGTCCGTGCAGGAGTTAATCACTAAGCAAACACTGCGCAACAAACAGAGCTGGGCTGAGCAGGATTGGTTTTAATGTGGCCTGGAAGCTCCCAACACGCTGGGGTTGCACGAGGCATTGTTGGGGGATTTAACAGCATCGCAAACAAGGTCCTGCCATGGAGAAAAGCTGGGGATGGACAATGGAGCAAGCCGTGAACAAACACTTCTGCTTGCTGCCTAGATTAGGAGATAGCAGAGAGCCTGTAGGAATGGCCAAAAATAACTGCTCCCCTATAATTGCTGCTGCCCGGATATGTGAAATAGCCCTGCTGGCACCCAGCAGAGAGGTGCTTGATGGCCTTAGCTTACCTGTGGGGCGGCAGCTGCCAAACTCTGGATGTGCCCAGTTCCCAGCTGTTGCAGACATCACAGGTCTTTCCCAGCTGTGCAGCTATTCCTGGCTCTGCAGCTCCAGAGAGAAAGGTATAACTGAAATATGTGGGAATGGCTACACTGGGTCACACCACTGCTTCACCTCACCTCTCTCCCTGTCTCCAGCGCAGGCCATGAGCAGACTGTTAGGAAAGATCATTGAAACCTGTGTAAGATCATAACTAGGACCTAGTCCCCGCTGTGACAGTGCTGCACAAAGCTTCTCCAGAGCTGCAGGACTAAAAAGTCAAAGACTTACTGTGCAGTTGCAATTTGCCCTGGCAAAATCTGTGCCTCTCCTTTCTACCATCTGCTCACTTCAGAAGCCCTGTGTGGGTACATGGGGCAGCTGCTCTATAGGAAGGCTGCAGAGGGAATGCTCAGGTTCATGCCAATGGTTCATCTTAGCCATTGCAAGAAAGGAGGCTGAAGCTGCAAACCTAAGATAGTCATTAAATATCTTCTAATACGAGATGACTCACATACTTTCCTGGTTGGTAGGACTCCATCAGGTGATGGAGAACCTGAATCAGGTTCTTCTGTAGGCAGCAAAAGCCTTTCAAACATCTAAAGGTGCCTTTGCCGTGAGCGGTATAAAGACAGACCCTTGCCGTTTCAGCTGGGGTTTGAACATGATTTTGGCTGGGAAAACTCACCCCGTGCCACAGAGGGACACCACGCCTTGCACAGGCCACCCACTTGCACACTAGCCTGGGGCCAGGACATCTGGCTGTAAAAATGCAATTGTGGTGGTGTCCCCTAAAGAAAGGAGGGCACTGAATTTGGGTACATCCTTCCTCCTTAGGGGAGGACGCAGGCACCACTGGTACATTTGCAACCCATTTGACAGCTCTTGCCCTTTGTACAAGCAGACAGGACAACTCCTGTAGCAAAGCCAGGAAAGATGATGAGCTTTGTGATCAGGTGCTGCATGGCCAGAGCACTACGCAACGTCAAAAGGAACTGCTGCTGAATGCCCAGGTTTCAGGATACAACAATAACACATAGCCCTATATTTCATTCCTTTAACAAAGTGCTGAATACGCAAAGGCTCTTTTCCCAGCTTCTGTCTCCGTCTTGGAAGCTGGGGAACAGCCGAGTGTGTAATTATTTTCAGATGCCATCCACTTTATTGATTATCTGAGTGGGATGCGCAAGTAAGGGCAGCTAATGCCAGGAGCAGAGCTCGAATAAAGCTCGCTCCCTGTTGGGAAAAGCTGAAATCAAACCACCAGATGAATGGGTCGTCGAAAACAGGCTGGAATATATTCCCTGTAGTCATTCCGAAAGTTCAAGGGCAGGGGAAAAGAGAGAAGACAGAAAGAAAGCAGCCGTGTCTGTGTTCACGAAACTTCTAATATCTGAAAGTGCTTAAAAAAAAACAGACAAGTGCTTTTCTTTTCATACAATCATGGAAAAACACACTAAGCTTTTGACTCAATGGTTTTGTTTTTCCAGCAAGTCCCTTCCAGGTTCCACGCGCCATCTCCGAGTCACGTCTGCTGGGTGAGCTTCGAGCTAACAGAGGCTTTAGGAGAGCTCGCTGTGATTTTGCCACACAAAGTTTCAAGTATCGGCTTGCTGGAAGTGCAGCCGAGAGGGAGGAGGGAAGGGAAGTGGCGTGAGCTTTGCCAACACACCTGCACAAGCTTTGGGCTCTCCTGGACAATCTGTGTGCTAATGATGTATAACCTGCAGAGCCTGGCAAGGCGCTCGCTGAAGACTATAACAGACAGGCTGTGCATGCCTCTGATTTCTAATTGCTTAAAACAAGTAATAACACCCCCCATCACCCCCCCAACCCTGTGCTGTAGGTAAATGCTTAGGATAGAAACTGAGATGCGTTCGGCTGGGAAGAGCTTCTACCAAGGTAAGGAACAAATGACAGTTTAATTACGGTATTTTACGTCTATGTAATTCCTCTTCTAAAGCAAAAGGGAGGAAAAAAGCTGAACGTCATTTCAGCTCCCATGTTCTGCTAATTTTGCTTTTGACTGTTAGAGATGCAGCTGGATCCTATTTCTAATCCACTTTCAAATTTGCTTGAATTAAAATCCCAGATCACTGCTGTGTTTTCAAGTTGAAGTGTGCGTAGTAGCCAAGGTTTATATGGCAATTTCTGGAGTTATGGAATGATGAGCTCCAACAGAGGAAAGTGTGTTGTATGCCTGAGTCCTGGGGAAAAGAAAAAAGGTTGGCATCAGTATTATTTGGAATTAGAGCTCACTTGTAGAATAAATAGCCTTGAAGTTAATACAGGGCTACATTTGGTTCCACCCACTGGAACTGGTCGGTATGGAAGAGCAAAGGCTGCCATGGTGGAGAGGTAGGAATGGGAAGTGCTATTTAGTTAGAAAACCTGATTATTTCTGAACTCTCACCTGAAATTTAAAAGTTCCCCTGTTAGTTTGAGGCTTATTTTAATAACAAATTCCCTTCCTGACTAAAATAGCACGGTAAGACTGCCCTTGCTTTGAAATACCTGTGCTTTCTCCATTGCTACCTGAATGCGTCTAAAAGCTGGCATTTCTGTTTATGTCTAAATCCAACAGCATGGGCTTGTTCGACTTTGCACCTGGACAACACCATAACTCACACGGAGTTATGAATCCTTACATTCCCTGGGCTTTCCTATCTGCCATGACAATTCCCAGCCACTGCCAGGTGAAGCCAGCCAGCCAGTATTTATGGAAAATGAACAGACTAATCATTTCCAATAGCGGGACACGATGATGATATAATTGCAACAGTTTTCGTTGACATCCAAGCGGAGGGATCCGAGCCAGAAATGGGAATACGGGCTCCACCCATCTACCACCCAAATGTAAACAAGCCAGCATGGTTAAAAAGAGGACTAGAAGACAGGGCTCAGGCGTTCTCCTTCAGCTGTGTTATGCTATGATTGCCAAGTTGCCACACAACCTTCCTGCCAGGCCATTTATCCAGCCATAAACTGACCCTTACCTCACACCAAAAAGTTGAGCTGCTTCTTTCAGTATCAGCTTCTTTTTAAACAGGGCTAAAAGCACTTTATTGAGAGATTATGTTTTGAAGATTGGGTGTTGTAGGGTCACAAATCAAACCTGTTAAGTACCTAAAATCCAGCTCAGCCTTAGCCATGACTGGCACTGTTGTAGCATGCACATGTTACTACCAGCATGGATAAGGGAACACCTGCAAAAGGGAGGGAAGTGTGTATGAATACAGCTGGAGATGAGGTGAATAAGACTGATAGCTTCTTACAAAAGATTGGGAGCGGTTCTTTGGCTGATGGATGATTGAAAATCCAGAGGTGGATTGTGAGGAGCTTGATGTGATGTCACAGGAAATCAGGGTAAGTCTTTGGTTGAAATAACTGGCAAAATAGTCCTGGATGCTGAGCAAAAGTTTACAGTAGCTTTGTGAACTATTAGCCCCTTTCAGAGCAGAGTTTCTCACAGGAGATTGACAGAGTGTTTTCTTTCAGCAATAATAGAGTCACTCCCATTCCAATGTGAGGATTTCCCTCATTAACAAGAGAGAACAAAGCTATTCATGTTTGGGGAAGCGTGGTCCTGAGAAGAGCCTTGAACTTACCCTTATAACTCACTTCCTTGCCTCTCCCCAAGTTGGCCTAAATTCAACTAAATTAAACTATTCCCCAAATTACATTTCCAATAAATTCACAACCCTGAATGAAAACAGCATCTGCTGTTTGTTGATGCATCTTTGCATGCAGTGGTCAATCCATTCCTCCTGACTCCATCACCAAGAACAAACGGTGCTGCTCACCTTCAAGTTCTCATTCCTAAACAGGAGGCCAGCCTGAGTATAGCTTGTGTCTGCATCTCTGGATATAACAAACCTCCTCAAACAGGCTGGTTAAAAGGAGGAAGCTCTTGTGGAGGTTGGGGCAGTTTATACTAGTGAGGGTCTGGCCTGTAAGGACTTGCACCTGCGGTATAAGGACAAAAAAAAGCCCGTGTTCCAAAGCATGGTGACCTCCCAGTCTCCTAAGCTGTATGAAATCCCATTTCCTTTCTACTTGTGCTAAATGTAAAAACAGAAACAAAGGCACACACCTAAATAAACAGAAAAGCACAGACAGAGAAGGGGAGAGAGGCCCTAGCGCAGGTCCTACGCCAACGAGTACAGAGAGATGTTTCCTATTTGCGGTCTTTCGTGTTAGACCTTGCCATATCATGTGAATGAGAATGTGAGTGGGAGACTCGTTGGACAACGTTGGTTTTACAAATGTCTCACGATTGCAGAAACACCTGCTTTATATTATATTTCTTGCTGGTCCACAACAAAATTCCTCGCTGGTCAACAGTTCTCAGCAGGCTTCATTTCTTCCTTCTCTGTGGATGGCTCAAATCACTGGTTTCTAAATCCTGGGCCACCACGAACCTGAACCTCCTTGAGTAGGAGGGGGAATACGGAAGGCAGAAGGGCACTTCTGCACAGAATCATGCCAAAATGGTGGCTAGAGAACCTAAACCTCATGAGACTGCTCACCATCAGGTGGGGGTAGCAGGGCAGGAGGGTTACCCAGGCCAAATGGACGGATCTGTAAGACCCATCTGTTTTCACCATGAAAACCTCACAGCCCACACCTATGCAACACACACCACTCCAGTCACCACAAGTTATTACTCTTGGTCTCCACCGCTTCCTGTGAAGCTGTAATGGGTCTGAGAGAGCGTCCAATGAAACCAAAGGGATCCTTTCCATTAACTCAATGGGCTCTGGATCAGGCCCAACATCTGTTTGGCCTTCTCTGTACACAGTGCAGCCAATTTATTCTTTATCCGTTCCTGGGCCTCTCTCTCCAATAGCATCCATATTTTCCTACTTATGGTTGTCATTAGCCACACCAAGCACCAACCCCAGTAAGAGACCATCCTTCCCCTCTTCGGCAGCCAGTCCCCTGCCGTGGCACAGCCACGAGTGCTGCCCCAACCCCATATCATTTTGGCCAGGTAACAGTCTCTCCTTTCTCCTTGTTCAGGTTTCCAAGCTATCCCTTCAAGCTGCCAAGCTCTTTCTACTCTTCCCACCAAGGATAGGGCTGGTTTTTGTTTTCTGTTTTATTGTAAATCTGGCCAAGAATCAATACAAACACCAAACAGAAAGGTCCAAGAGCCCGTAAGACACCTGAAGAGCATTGCAGAGAAGGGACATGTTCTCCGAACAGACATTTCCCACCCTGGCTGATGACAACGCAGGCAATGCATTCTCTAGCAATCCAGAGTACAAAGGGTAACAGCCAACAGGCAGCTCCATAGTCTTATATTGGGATCCAGAGCTAGAATAAGAGACCTAGCAACAAATCTCCAAGCTGTCCGTATAAAACCAAGTGTGTGGTGTATATATATATATATGTGTGTATATATATATACACATACACATATATATATATTGTATATGTGCATAATGCCAGTTAACAACACTTAAGTTTCCAACCGCTCTACAAACACAATCTAACTCGTGATTCAGGTTGGAGAGACTATGCTGGGACTAAGCACAGGTCTTCTCCAGGTCCCACAGTGACAGTAACAGCTATGGTCCATGAGACACCTTCCATTCACTGAGCAATACACAATATTAATTTCTTTATGACTTTGCTGAGCCCTTAGATTCAGGGTCTTTTTTCATCCCATCACACACAGATTTCCGTGCTGCGAAATGCATGCTACTGCTAAGCAGAGCAATAGCCTTCATTTACAAACCAAACAGCTTCTTCCAGCAGAAAAACAACTCTCCAGCGTTAAATCTATAGATCCTTCCAGACACAGAGTTACAGATTTATTTAGGCACTGACACTCTGTGAGAATCCCATGCAAAAATACCCCCTCACCATATCCCAAACTCACATGATTTTGAAAACGCAAGCGTGGTGCCTGAGGCCAGATGAGCGGACTGGCAGGCTGCTGGCACTGTGCATAGGCACATACATCTGCATGTCAGGTAGTTACTCATTCCTGCATACTTCCCTGATAAAATCTGGATTGCCTAAAGCTGGTATTTTCACTCCAGTTTCCTTATCAAGGTATTTACCACCTCCTGTCTGTGCCTTGCAGACCGAGGGTGTTAAATGCTCCCTTACTCTTTCTTTGTGGTACAGTGAGCTCAAGCATATAGGAGCTGCTGTACAGGATGGGATTTCTAAACCCACTGGAGCATGCAGTGGGTGGCTGCTGGCCTGGGCTTGATGGGATCTCACCCTGTTTGTACCTGGGACGTTGTGCTTTTGATCCTCAGGCTGGCTTTCTGCAGCTGGCGGGCTCCTTCCTGTGTTTTGGGTGCTTGTTGTGGTGTGTCCTGGTAGTCCCTGATTGCATTTGAAAAGCTGTTCTCTCCTGTGAAAGGTTCTATCCTGGTGTACAGCTGCATGAAGAGAAGGATAGCTTGGGATGAAGTCTCAGGAATAGCAGAAGTGTAAATGGCACCTCAATATAGACACAGAACATCTTTTTCTCTCTAAAAGTAAAAGAATCTCTCTCTGTAAATAACAATATTGAGATAGGCCACGGACCGCAAAGGCAAGGTGCTCTTGGAAACTTTGTGCAGTCCCTTTCCGAGAGCACCCCACACCTCTTTCCCACAAACTGCTGATACAAATCATCTGGTTTAGCCAATGGCTCTCACACCCTCTTCTTCGCATGAGAGCAAACATCACTCCCAACATAAGGGTGCTTGATGGCTCTGTTGTTCCCTCCCAAGCCTGATAAACGGAAAAAGAGATACAGATCCTGAAACAGTATCTAAAAGATTATTAATATCCTTGAAGAAAAATATTAGATCACCCATTGTAAGAAAGAATTGAATTTCACAAACATTGTAAGTATTTCATCAGTTTAAAAGTAATATTTATGGAGACTGACTTTGTCCACTGTGCACTGGGGGAGAAAACAGTTCATTTTGGGGTGCTGATTCTACCAACAATGCTACTCTCAACCATTCCCATGAGCATTACACTATAGGAATATAGCTTTGTGCCTGAAAAAAAGGGGTTTTGGCTAAATTCAAACAGAATGAAATGCAATTTGACTTCAGAAATATCAAGTTCTTTTACTTAAAAAAAATAACAATATAGAGTTTTTCAGGCTTCATATAAAAATATTTTCTTCTGATATTTCTGCTGTACAACACTTACTGTGACCCAGGAAAATTCCTCTAATTTAGTGCTGAACCCTTCTGTGGTCCTTCTGCTGAAAGACATTAGACTTGGATCCAAGGTGGTTGTCATAACATGACAGTGTCCAGCCTGTGAGAGCACTCTGAACCCCACCATCTGGGCAGAACAAGCCCTGTCCACTGACAGTGGTGAAGGAAAACCAAACAGGGTTCCTGGGGCTGGTTTTCCCCATCACTTTGGCTTTTGGATGAGCCAGCTCTGAAATCAGAGAGATGACTCTATATCTGAGGTGGCGTTAATTAGGTGCCAATTGCAACGAAGGCATGATGACGTGGGCTTCAACGGAGCTGCCTGCCTGGGATCATGTCCTGCATCCAAGCTATAACTTGCTTTGCATCCTCCTTCCTTCTGGGATTAAGAGTAGCTAGGCTAAAACCAGCTTGAGACATGCCTGCTCTTGCGGTGATTTCTCCTGGGCCTCTCTTAGGAGCTGTGATTTTTTGGAGGTCCTGTGCACCTGCCACAACCCCTTTGTGCCAGGGTGCTGAGTGCCCAGCGCATGGGCGGGAGCAGTCCTGAGATGCCTGGAGGAAGAAGCACAGGAAAGCAGATGCTTTACAAAGTGCTGACCTGTTTCGTCCTGTCCTGCAACCTCCGAAGACAGTGCTCAGGAATAAAACGTAGGGAACCGCGTAGTGTGAGAGAGCAACTCAAAATTACTCCTGTAGTGAAGAAACCACATAATATATTCAAGATGTCAGAGGTCAGCTGTGGTGTATGTGAATCATGCTGCAAATACCTCACCTTTAACTTTACCGTCGTAATTAGATTACAAAGTTTTTATTACAGTTTTAAATCCTGCCTTTATAGGTTGCTGCCCAGCTGTGCACTTAAATCTGGTTTTATCACACTTTCTGAGCTCATCACATTTAATTCTGCCCCTACAATGCTGGATTAACTTTAAGGGTCGCTGAAGTCAAGAAGTCACTCACCCTTGCCCTACTAATGGATTCACACCATCCCTGCATGGCCCCTAAGAGTGATGTGTACAGTAAACTGCATTTATTGGCACGGTGGAGGGGAAGGGGCATTGGGGTTGTTTATTTACTCCACTGCTGTGCTTACCTATCAGGATATTTGCACAGATTACTGCAGTCATGAGATGTTGTTTACCTCCAAAAGCCTGTTGCAGTGAAATCGCAGCAGCACTGCTCTGAGAGCTCAAAAAGAGAGTATCTAGGTCTGCCTGTGAGAAGTGGATGGCTGAGGCTGATTATTGAGGTTTATAGACCTGTATCATCTGAGGAACTGATCAATTGTTTCCATTCAGAAATCCAGAGATCACACCCTGCCATCACAATCCTCCTGCCAGAAAGCCCAGATCTGGTACTTTATGGGGCCCATCTCTGATATCTGAAGCAGTCCCAGCAGAATGAAAAAACCTTATATTTTTCTACAGGTGTCTTCTTCAATGTTTCTTATCTTCAAGAAATCAAGGCAAGGCACAAAGGAAACTCTTCATCTAAACAACATTCACCCCCCAGGTTTTACCTCAGTCTGCTCTTCTTTGACCAGCAAACATCAGATGGGCTGATGTCAGATACCACCTGAACAAGATGATCCATTGTCCTGAAAAAATCATCATGTAAATGGGCAAATAAAGGGCAAACAACATTATTTCTTTTTAAAAAATGGAGAAATGAGGTACTGAGTGTCCATCCAAGTGATTTACATGAAGTCACAGGGGGAATCTGAAAGGGATCTGGGAAATAAAACTAGCTCCAGTGGAAAGGTCATTTCGTTCTTGCTGAGGGATGCTTTGAACAGAATTAGAACAGACCTGAGCCAGAGATGGACAGCAGGGACTTTAATGAGAAACGGGGGGCAAAAATCATCACTAAGTAATTCCATGACAATTTCTGACCTTTGTTATTCAGTGACTAGACACAACATTTTTGGACCCGCGGTTAATAATCTTCAGCAATATACAACCTTCTCCCAAGGAATGTGTGGTGATTAGGGCAAAGAATTTCACATGGTCACAAAATATCTATCTCAGAGTCCTGGGCTTATAAAATACTCTATTTCCTCCATTAATTGTGTCCACGTGGAGCTGTAACTAAGTAGCTGAAACAAATAAAACCAAAGTAATATTGTTTCCTTTTAAAATATTTCACTTAATTTGTGGAAGAGGTTTGGGCTCATTAAAAATAGACCATCTCCCATGAGGGCTTTATCCTTTTCTTCTCCAAGTCTCTCAACCAATCCTTAGTAATGCACATAGCAGCACACTCCTCAGCACAGCCCTGGCTGGAGCCGCTCTCATTTGACTCAGCAGCTCCTGCCGTGCTCGGCAGCGAGGGCAGGCAGCGCTCCTCTGGCTAAGCAAAGCGAGGCCTCGGTGTCTTCTGATGCGTCACTGCTCTGAAACAAACCGTCAGTGTTGCTGACTAAAATTTCCTCCTTCCACCTCCAGCTCGTTAGGAAACTCCACTCCCTCCTCCCACGTTAAGGTTTGGCTACCCATAGTTGTGGAAATAACAATATGTTCATTGCAAACGAAGGGGCGAGAAATGCTTAGACCTCAGTTAGGGCTTACTTAGTTGAAGCTATTGTGCAGGCACTTGGCTTCTTCTGGTGGATCTTAGTCTGCTCCCTAATCTTTCGAGGTGAGCGATGAATCAGTTACGGGTGACATCAGAAACCGCTGTGTTGTCAACAGACCGTGACAATTCCTTTCCCTGACCTAATGTCAATCACAAAGCAGGGGACAAAGCAGATGAGGTAGAGGTGAAGAGCAACCTGGAGCAAGGGCGTTAGGCTGCAAGAACAACCTCTGGAAGAGATCAAAAAATTCCACAAATTCCTTTCCTGTTTAACACCATTTTTGCATCCTCATCGTATCTTTTCCAAGTCCACTCCTCCAAAAGAAAGGCATCTGCAACCATGACTCTAAAGAAAAATGGGAGAAGATCTGGTAATTCCACACAGTCCCTGCTGTGAACTCTTCCACTGCTGCTGTGCTCTGACCTGAAAAGTTCTCCTGCTGCAGTGTAACTGAGGCAATGGCAAGACCCAAGGATGGATGAATGATGTGGATGCCCCATCCCTGGAAGTGTTCAAGGCCAGGGTGGATGAGGCTTTGAGCAACCTGCTCTAGTGGAAGGTGTCCCTGCCCATGGCAGGCGGCTGGAAGTGGATGAGCTTTAAGGTCCTTTCCAACCCAAACCATTCTATCATTCTATGATGGAAGGATCTGACCAAAGGGTGCCAAATACACAAGCGTTTCACACAGGGCAGAAGCTGAGACTGTGATCTCTGCACTAGCGTGTTTCACTAGGTATTAAAGCCCTGTTGGCATCTAATGTCTTTCCCCTCTCCCCCTCTACTGATGGGGCCCCAAATACTCACCAGGTTATCTGTTATCATATGTATGTTATGGAATATATACTTCAGCCCTATTTGATGAAGACGTTTCCATAAAATTGGATTCTGTGATCCTTCTCCAAATATCTCCTTTTGTTTTGTGGGCCCAGTTGCACTGTAGAAGAATTTACACCAATGTCACCAGGCAACAACTGAACTATTCATGAGGACATCCCAGTCAAAAGATGTACAGGAGTTCAGAGGCTCCCCAGTGCTGGGTCACTCCAGTTCTTCTCACTGGTTTTCTTCACCTTCCAGGGGGCAAACCACATCTGGGAAATTACTGGTGTCCTGCTGCTCACTACGGACACCACTGGGGACCAGGATATGGTCTTGTAAACTGTGATGAGATCTACAAAGCGAACTCTCATGTCCTCTCTAGGTCTTTCAAAACACATTTCTCTAACTGCTATGATTATATTCAAATTCTTTCATTTTGGTAATAACATCATCCACATTTTCCTCTCTCCTTCCTTTTTCTGATCATAACCTTGTTAGGCACAATAGAAAAGTCATCCCTTAATTCTCTTTTCTCCCCATGCTCTCTGCCTTTGGGCATGATCACTCTCCTCCCCAGATTAAAACCAATATAAACAGCTTCTCTGCTCTGGGTGAGCTAAACCGTAAGTGTGGGGCTTTTCTGGACTATATTTAAAAGTAACTATCATCAGTCTTCTCATGGCATCACCATCAGTATTATTAGTAGTATTATTGTTCATGCTAGAGCCCCCCTTAGAGCTGATAGCCAAGATCAAGGCTTGGCAACTGTTCAGATGCTGTACAGCCATATTGGGAACGCAGTCTTTGCCCTCAACAGCCTGAAATATATCTCACCAACTCAGACATGAAACAGTGCA